TTTTTCTGTTGACTTATCAACATTATGTGGTAACCTTCCTTGTCCTTTGTGATGATTTTTACATTGATATTTATTTTATCAGAGATTAATATCATTACTCCTGCTTTTTTCTTGTTGCCATTTGCTTCGTATATTTTTCACCACTCTTTTCTTTTTAGTCTGTCTTTATCTTAATTTTTCAGGTGTGTCTCTTGTATACAACATATTGATGGATTTTGTTTTTTTTTATCCGATCTGTTACTCTCTTTCTCTTCAGCGGTGCATTTCAACCATGCCCAAAATACGTGGGATGGAACTTTAAAATCCTTGCCTCCAAGGAGCAGCTTACTTTCACCCTCTTTTTAGTCATTGTCCAGCTCTCTGATGCACAGCAAGTAATTATGAAGACCATGGCTTGGATCAGGTGTTTGTTAGACTCTAGACTGACATTATCACTCTTCAGAACTCTGGAGATGTCCCTGACAGGAAATTTTCCCAATGCAATGCATCTTTTTATTTCCAGACTGATGCTGCCAAAAGTGTTGATTGTGGAACCAAGGAAGCTGAAATCGCTAACAATCTCAATCTCTTCTCCATCTATCATATCAATTGACCCAGTGGTGAGGATCTTTGTTGTCTTGATGTTGAGCTTCAATCCATATTGAAGACTGCAGTCCTTGACCTTCTTACAGTGAACACGTCAGATCTTCCTCAGTTTCAGCAAAGTCATGTCATCTGCATAACACAAGTTGTTGATGAGTCTTCCTCCTCATGAAGTCCAGCCTCCCAAATAATCTGTTTGGCAAATAGCTTGAAAAGGTATGATGACATCCTTGACCCACATTTTCCCCAATTTTAAAACATGCAGTGTTTACTTGTTCTGTTCTGACAACTGCTTCATGGTCCAAGTATAGGTTTCACATCAGCACAATTAAGTGTTCTGGGAATCCAATTCGTCTCAAGGTTAAGTCACAATTTGTTGTGATCCACAACATGCCTTTGCATAGTCAATAAATCACAGACATTCCTCCACTACTCTCTGCTTTCAGCTAAGATCCATCCAATATTGACTGTAAAGCTCCTAGTGCCACAGCCTCTTACAAACCCAGCTTGCATATCTGGTAGCTCTAGTAGATTTTGGACTAGTCCTGAATTATTTATATATGTGTTGCAGCTCTTTTTTATTACTGTTGATACTCCCACTTTGCTCAGCTAATACAAAGTCCTGGACTAGACAATTATTACATATCACTCCAGCTCAAAAATCTAATGAGGTTGAAGTCTAATGAAGCTTCCTAAAGAAGCTTCAGTGGAAGCAGCAATTGTATACAGGGAAGTAGTGAGAGTCTGCAAGTCTGTTAATGATATGTGAATCCTCCCCAGTGGGTAAGAGCTGCAACCATCCCCATAACTCCAACTACTATGGCTCCTGTGGCTAGTCTGGCCTTACCACGAGATTGCTTTGTGATATTTAAGACCAAGATTCCATCTTGAGCCGAGTAGCGTATGGTATACTCTCCAACATGTAGATGAAAATACGTAGTTACAAGTTCTGATGGTTACTTGATCTGATATTTGTCATTGCACAAAGCCACACTGTCCTCAAAGCTGCATCTATGTATGTGAAATTACTGTTGTCATGAACCCCTGTATTGGAAGCGACTCATAGCTGACCCTTCAATGAGTTTTCAGAGGCACAAGAGTAAATTGCCCATCTTTTTCTTGTGGAATCTAACTGTGTACCTTTGCTTTGGCAGTGTGATTCCTTATACTAAGCCTTCAGAGTTATTATAGGAGATTAGAGGAGTTTTATTCTGTTATCCATGAAGGAATAGAATATGTACCTGATCTTAAAGGGTCCTGTTCCACCTATAACTCTATCAGGGTTTAATAAAATAAGAACTGAAAAATCTAGCTCATATCTCTTCCATGTTGTACAATTGAATGGACCAACTTGTGTGTGCCCTTTACAGCAATGTGTTTTAATTGGTGCTCACTCCACAGTAAGATTGTACATTAACACTATTAAAGAACATTAAAGGACATTAACACAATTAAAGAACATAAAAGAGGATACCAACTAGAAGGGGAAGGTTTAGTATTTCTTTTTTTTTTTTGCCTGAATTCTTTTATTTAGCTACTTAGCATAATGCTTTCAAGGTTCAGCCATATTGTAACATGTATTGTTGTTGTTGTTGTTTTGCCGTCAAGTCAGAACTGACTCATAGCTGACTCTCCAATGGTTTTTTTTTTTAAGTGGCTGTCAGTAATTTATTAAATGAACTTTTTTTTTGTATTACAATAAGAGAAAATATAATTTCTCATTTAACAATGTATTCTTTTTTTATTGGGAAAAAACATATTTGGGGTACAAGGAGGTGAGGGTTGGGGGCAGAAGGGTGAGGATGGGCAGGGATGCAGTTGCAGAGCTGCAGAAATTGGTTGGTGGGGGGAGCAGGTGAAGGAAATGAAAAGGATCCAGTGGGGACCAGATGCTACAGGAAAATGACAAGCATTTTCCAATGGTAATTAAATCAACTGTCTTATTGATTTGGGAACTGGATGCCGACTCTCTGGCTTCTTCATGCTGAACAGGTGCGTAGATGTGAAGGGGGAAAGGGAGGACACTTTATCACCTTACTGGTGATCTTGGGTTAAGGCTGCTTGCCTTCTTGTTCTGTTAGAAGATATTTTCCTGTTGGTTGCTCCCCTCTGGACTGCAAAGTATTTTCCCAGGTGGGTCCAGTGGGGATGGCTTGTTGAACCCAGAGGCTCCATCCTCCTTTGCTTCTTTAGCTGGCAGTTGTATTTCCTTTTTGTCACTGGCCCTGGGTTCGGGGTCAGGTCTGAAATAAAACTCAGTGTTAAGGTTACCTATAGGAAAGGGAGCAAACCTAGAGAGAACAAACTTGTGAGTTACAAAAAGAGGGGTGTTGGGGTTGTTGCTTTCAGGTTTACTGGGGGAGAGGGTGGCAGAAAGTAGCCTAGATAAAATTCTCTGGATACCCTAGGCATTTTTTTTTTCCTACCCAGGGGTCAGATGGCACAATCTGGGGACTGAGGAGCTCACCCTGAGGGCCATGACAGCTTGTCCCGAGCCAAGGGCCAAAGACAGCCCGCCCCAGACAGAGGGCTGTGACAGCTCACCCCGAGCTGAGGGCCGAAGACAGCCCGCCCTGAGCAGAGGGCCATGACGGCTCGCCCCAAGCTGAGGGCCGAAGACAGCCCGTCCCAAGCAGGGCAACACCCCCAATGGGCCGGCTGGTACACTCCTCCTCTAATTGCCCCCAACCCAATCTGGTCCTCTCACCTGACCGAGGACTGTGTGGCCAGGGACAGCGTCTCCAATTCCAGCACCCTCCCATAAGTGGTCATTCTATATTTTGAAGTAGGTGTCACTGCCCTCCCCCTTTATAAATGGCAAAGGGAACCTGAGAATTGTGAACAGGCTCTCCCCAGGTCTAAACAGCTTTTGGCAGAAGCACCCAACAGATCAAAATATGTGGTACATTTAGGATGTCGGTCCTCTTGGACATGCTGCCACTGTTAAGTGTCATCAAGTAGACAACTCACAGTGACTTTCAACAATCCATTGTATAGGTGATCATCTCTGGTTTTCCAAGGAAACCCAAACCTGTAGTCGGTGGGGCACATGTGCCCCCCATGGGCGGTGGGGCGTGCGCCCTATCTTCTATGTGGGTGGCCGGCAGGCACACACCACCCCCCAGCGCCGGTGACTGGGGGGGCTCGCCATCTCCCGTGCATCATCTCCCACGTGGGTGGCTGGTGGGCGTGTATCATCTTCTGTGCGGGCAGCCAGCAGGCACCATCCCCCAGCATGGGCAGTCAGCGGGCGACCGTCATTTTGTGCGTGGGCAGCTGGTGGGGGTGTGTGCACACCATCCCCCAGCACGGATGGCTGAGGGGCACACGTCATCTCGCTTCTGGGCAACCAGCGGGCGCGAGTCATCTCGTGTGCGGGCAGCTGGTGGGGGTGGGAGATTTAGTATTTCTTTAGAGAGCATTGAAGCTGGGTCTGTATGACACTACAGCAGGTTTTCAGAGGCAGTTAATTGCATGGGAGGAGACTGCCCATCCTTCTCCATCAGAGCAACTGCTGGATTTGAACTGCGTGCCTTTGGGATTGCAGTGCCGCTTCTTGCCACTATGCCACCAGAGCTCCCTAAATTAAGGCTTTAGCTTCTTAAACAGCACCTTCAGGTCAGACAACAGTTCACATTCTTATTAGTCTTCTTCCAGAGTCAAGGGTGCCCACACAGCTGGTTTGACTCTGGAAAGATTAAACTAAGCAATTTTTCCTAGAATTTTTCTGCTCTGGGTGTTGCTTTGGTGGTAACAGCTGCAACACACATTTTAGAGTCTAAGCCTTGCAGGTCTGGTGGCAACTCTCCTGCATGCCGGGTGCCATTTTTAGGACAGAGAATTCAAGACCTTCTAAGAATGATAAAATATGAACCTAGAAGATGAGACCTGCTTAGCCATCTGGCTAGAAGCAATCCATATTTATTACCATTCAAAAAAAAAGGTGATACAATTGAGTGTGGACATTATCTAACAATATCACTAATACCACACACAAGCAAAATCCTGCTGAAGATTATAAAAAAAAAAGACGGGAAGAGTATATCATCAGAGAACTGCCAAAAGCACAAGCTGGGCTAGGAAGAGGCCATGGCACTAGGGAAAACCAATGTCAGAAGGATTGTGGCTGAGAGCAGAGAATATCAGAGAAATGTCTGTGTTTCATTCATTATGCAAATGCATTTGACTGTGTGGATCACAACAAATTGTGGCTAACCTTGAGAAAAATGGGAATCCCAGAACACTTAATTGTTCTGATACAAAACCTATATTTGGACCAGGAAGCAGTTGTCAGAATAGAGCAAGGAAACGCTATATGGCTCAAAATCAGTAAAGAAGTGTGTTGTGGATGTCCTGTCTCCATATCTTTTCACTCTATATGCAGAACAGATCATTCAGGAGGCTGAGTCATCAACAACCTGTGTTATGCAGGTAATGCAACCTTGCTTGCCAAAACTGACAAAGAACCTGAAGTGCTTGCTGCAAAATGTCAAGGACTGCAGTCTTCAATATGGATTGAAGCTCAACATCAAGACAACAAAGATCCTCACCACTGGGTCAATTGGCAGCAGAATGGAGAAGGGCTTGAGATTGTTAGCGATTTCAGCTTGCTTGGTTCCACAATCAACACTTTTGACAGCATCAGTCAGAAAGTAAAAAGATGCATTGCACTGGGAAAATTTCCTGTCAAGGACATCTGTAGAGTACTGAAGAGCAACAATGTCAGTCTAGAGATTAAGGTGTGCCTGATTCAGGTGTTCTCAATTACTTGTATGCATTAGAAAACTGGACAATGGCTAAGGATGATAGAAGAATCAATGCCTTTGAATTGTGATACTGGCAAAGAGTACCGAACATACCATGGACTGCCAAGAAAACAAACATATTTGTTCTAGAGAGGGTGAAACCAAGTTGCTCTTTGGAGGCAAAGATTTTGAAGCTCTGTCTGGGATACTTTGGATAGGTGGCCCATAGAGATCAATCCTTGGAGAAAGACATAATGCTTGGAGGGTGGAGGGTTAGCAGAAGAAAGGAAGATTTAGGATTAGATGGTTTGATACCATAACTGGGTATCAGGGATAGGTGTGTTGGAGACAGTGAGATTGGCTCAGGATAGTGTTCAGAGCTGTTATGCATAGGGTTGACATGAAATGCAGCATATAACCACAACAACTTGAGAGGCTATACTTTGGAGAGGAACATCATGCTTGGAAAGCTGCAGGGTGAGGGGAAGAAAGGAAGACTTTCAATAAGATGGACTGATGTAGTAATTGCTTCAATGGGCTTGAGTATGTCACAGATACTGAGGATGACATAGGATAGGTCGGGTACAGATCTGTTGTTCAAACACTACAACAACAGCTTAACTATAAGAAATGTTCTATAGCAGAAGAACTGGGCTTCTGGTGTAATGGGGAAGGGATTATTAATTATTATTCCATTAACACAGTAGAGGAAGAGTAAATACTTTTTCTTTGGTTTTTCATCAATCCCCACCCCAATCTGGGAGGAAGGGGAGAGGCTACCAGTGATGACAGTAACACCAAGAAGGAAGCCCTTGGCATCTCCATCAGAAAGGGCCAAGGTTTACCCCTGACTTGGAAGGTGACCTATGGTTTTTAGATTGTATATCAGGGCAGGGAGCTGGAAGCGAACCCAGTCAACTGGATTCAACTTTGCTCAAGTTGGATCCAACTTCTATTAGGCACTGTGGGCAGCCAGTTGCCTGCTGATGCAGAACTTCACACTGGTAGCAAGTGAGGGGAAATTTTCAATCCTCTCTCCCCCCCCCTTCATAACTAGTTTATTGTCGCTCAGCATCATTTGCTCTACATTCATCCATCTTGTGCAGTATTTCACTAATTCCTAATAAGTTTTTAGTGATGCATAAAACTTCATGGAGTGAATCTACCAGAATTTTTTTAATTAATTTCAGTGAACATCTACAGAGATTTTGGACTTCCATTCATTCATTGTTGCACTTTTCTTCCCACCCACCCCCAGTTCACTCCTCTCCTTGAAAAGCAGTAGAAAAACCCCTGCATTGGTACACAATCCCCCCGCACACCCCCACCCCCACCCCGAGTATACTCCATTCTGTAACCCTCATTCCGGACACTTATGATAATCATAATGCCCTAAAATATATTACTTTTAAACTATTCTCTCCCTCATCGGCTTCAATGCAGTAAACATAATTTATCCAGTTTTTCTCAGTCTTATCCCACCCCGATGTCAGCCTCATTCTACAACAGTGTCACCATATTGCTGTTCTGTTAAATTTTGCTAGTCTTACTGGGGTGAGATGATACTTCATAGTTGTCTTGAGAACCTGGAAATCAACCCATCTATTTATGGTCAACTGATTTTTGACAAGGAGATGAAATAAGTTAGGTGGGGAAATGACAGCCTTTTATGGTGTTGGTAAAATTGGAAAACTATCTGCAGAAGAATTAAGCAAGACCCACACCTCACTCCATATACAAAAAACAACTCAAGGTGGATCATGGACCTACGACTAAAACCAAGGACTATAAACTTCATTAAAGAAAAGCTTGAAAGAACTCTAGTAGTCCTAATCCACAACATAAAGTGTCTTCCAAGTATCCTGACAAATTTACAACCAGGAGAAGATAAAATAGATGAATGGGACCTTCTAAGAATCAAATCCCTATGCACATCCAAAAACTTCTCCAACAGGGTAAAAAGGGAAGCCACAGACTGGGAATAAGTGTTTGGTAATGACATGTCAGATAAGGGACTTATATCTAGAATTTATAAAATACTTGAGCACCACAACAAGATAAAGGTAAATAATCCAATAGAAAAATAGGCACAGGATATGAACAGACACTTCACCAAAGAAGACATTCAGATGGCCAACAAGCACATGAAGAAATGTTCAAAATCCCTAGCTCTGAGAGAGATGCAAATCAATCCTCTCTTTTACTTGTAGATTTTTGAGGTCCCTGTTTGCACTGCTTTCTAACATGCTCTATTTGTAAGCATTTGTAACTCAACACTCCTCTATCTCTTCCCTATGCAGCTGACTCTGTGAGCTGAGCTGGAAATACTGCTCTAATTAATGTCTGCATTTGAAGCCCTTTCCCAGCTTCCTCCAGTTTGCTGTTATTGAAGGCCACCTTAGGCATCAATCCCATAAGAGTCCCCATGGGGACCGAGGGTTCTTAACTGCAATTTTCTATGGATATCGAGGGCTGACTGATTAAGAAAGTGTTGTGTGTTCCACACTAACCATCCCTCTTCTGATTCAGGATCAATTCAGCAAATCACTAAAGGGCTTCCCCTAATCTACCCCCCCAAAAGAGAGCACATCCCAAACGTGAAAGGAGCAAAGGTGAAGAAATAACAAGCAACATGGGCCAAAGAATAGCTAAAGAGAGAGTAAAATTTTAAGTAAGAAACATACTCAGAGTAAACTTGATTTAAATCCATTTCATCCAGGGTCTTCCTCACCTGTGCTGTCCCTCCACCCTTCTAAGACTCTTCTCCAGCATCACAACTTGAAGGCATCTATTCTTTTCCTGTCATCCTTAGTCATTGTCCAGCTCTCTGAAGCATAACAAGTAATTGAGAAGACCATAGCCACCTTCGTCTCCAGACTGACATTGTTGCTTTTCAGCACTCTGGAGATGTCCATGATGGCAGATTCTCCCAATGCAATTCATCTTTTGATTTCCTGACTGCTGGTGTTAAGAGTGTTGATTGTGGAGCCAAGAAAGCTGTAACTGCTAACAACTTAAGTCTCTTTTCCATCTATCATGGTGCTGCCAATTGGCCCAGTGATACAGTATCTGGAACAATGGGGGTTGGTGAGTAGTAATTTGTAAGATTGGCTCAGGATAGGGAAGGGTTCAGAACTGTTATACATAGGGTCTCTATTCATTGTGGTTAAGTCAATGTCACATAACAACAAAAACACATTATATTGGTTGTTTTTTTTAAAATAAGCCTCTTGTTTAGAGTCAACAAGACCTTGAGGAGGGCCTTTGTATTTAAAAGTTGATTGTTATTATATTTTGGAGGAACATTCTTCTAAGTGGTACAGCACTCTTCTGTCAATATGCTGTACTGAGGTAACCTGGGGTTTCTGTGATGCTGAAGCTTGTGCCAATGGGATGTCAAATGCCATACTGGTTACTCATGGTGGACATGTTTGGTGGAACTCTCAGTTTAAGACAGGTTTGGAGGCAGGAGTGGCACCCACTTCCTAAACAATATGCCCCTGGAAACTCTACGAACTTTGATAAATGACAACAGTTGTAGAATGCATTCAGGGCTATTGTTCATAGGGTTGCTGAGTTGTGCTCGAGTTGATGGCAATCAACAGCAACAACAACAAACTTTATGTAGTAAGAAACA